TTTATTTTTTATTTTTTTTTTTTTTTTTTTTTTGTGTGTATGTGTGTATGTGTGCATTCCCCCGGTTCATTGGTTGCGGCTTTTGCTGTAAGTCCATCAGGTCGGGGCTTCGATCCCTGCGTAGGATCGATTTGCACACATGTCTAGAAGGGAGGTCTGCCCCTCGACATACATAAATACATAAATACATAAATACATAAATACATAAATACATAAATACATAAATACATAAATACATAAATACATAAATACATAAATACATAAATACATAAATACATATATACATACATATATAAATTTTTCTATATAAATTTAATAAAAATCTCAAGAGGAACATTAACCCGACCCACTCATTAGAACACATACACGTTCGAACCCAAACTCATAATTTGCTCATAATCACATTGAAGTTACCCATTAGAAATAAATCCATAGAGGATCAAAGCCACCGTGCACTGCTTATGGAACCATAGAAAAATTAACAAAGACAAGAGGGTCTTCTTTGCACTAGTTGTACTCGGATAGAGCCACCTGTTGCGGAGGGTTCATGAGAGGTTAGAGGAGTGAGGTTAGCATCGGTCAATAATGTTATCGGTCAGTACAGTCAAGCATAAATTAATAATATCAAATTATTTTAATATGCAAGTACATTACTTTTCACATATTGAATTATAATATATTCTTTCTATGTCAAATTAATCAATTTTTCTCCTTATTATTTTATTTTTTGGTTCATGTGATCAATAAGAGGAAGACCAAAAACATCAAAAAACATGGGCTCAATTCACAATGCTTAATGGAGTGTGTGGAGGATTTTATATTAACACAAACATTTTATTAATACATCATATCAACGTATTTTAAGCACAAAACAAGTGTTTTTACAATAAAATAAGATTTAAATTCAGAAAAAAAAAAACTCAAAATAATCACTGAGGGAGAAAACTGTGAGATGGATGGGCAGATGAACAATAAGTTTTATGAAAAATCATTTTACTTTCTTTAAAGTGGATTTCAAATATGATCTTCTCCAAGGGAAAAAGTAATACCAATCAATCAAAAGTTATGATGAGATGAAATTTTGAATAATTACAAATGTTTAAGAAATACATTTTTAAAACTATTGTCATCCGGTAAAGAAAAATTTATGACTCGTCTGATCAAAAGATACTAACATGGCCTGACAGAAAGCACAAACTCAAAAATAAATCACATGCATTGAAACTGTTTTTCAAGTTCAATTGATGGCAAGTTGTTGACGATACCTGCAGATGATGCCCATACTACATTCATTAATGACTCTACAATGGCACGTTTAATTTAAAACTTCTCAACAAAATAGACTCTTCTTTAAAGCGTTAAAATCGATCTATAAATGGATCTTTCTTACAAACAGAACCACCCAAAGCAGCTCTCGCGCAAAAAGAAAAGGAGAAGTAGAGTTTAAGGGTTGTAACCCAAAAACCCTCACGGGAAAACAACTAGCCAAAGGGACAACAAGTCGCAAACTGTTCAAAAGACTAAAGCGAGAAAACGGAGACAGAGGATACCTTTCCTCCCCGGGAGCTCCTTCCCCTCCTTTTCGTAGAACTCCCTGATATCAACAGCAGGCTTTCCCTGCCAGCACCGAACTGTAACCCTCCGCCTATTTGACAACTGAAACGAGTCCAAACCCCGCTATTGGATAGGAGAAGCAAGAGAGAGGGAATAAGGGGACAAAAAATGATTACCTCGCAGACAACAATGTCGCCATTTCCATCATCGGCGTCCGTTTTGGCGAGCTTCGCCGGCTGAACCGAGTCGCCATCGCCGTGATCGCCGTGATCGCCGGCCCGCTTCTTTCCCTTCTTCAACATTCTTTCGCGGAACCCTCAACGCTGACAAAACAGCTTTCCCGTCAAGCTGCTGCAAACTGAGGCAAGGGCGGGAGATGAAGGGGGCTTTATTTATCATATGAGTCGCGGGCTCCACAGTCTTCTGACCGTAATCCGATTGAGCAAATGGTGATCTTAATATTTTTTTGGCTAATAATTTTAATTAAGGGTATTAAGGGCCCTTTGGGGGAGCTCATTAGTGTCTGGCGGTATTTTCAAAATGCCCCATCACTATTTGTAAAACACATTTCAGACGCTTATCCGAAACCACGATTGGATTTTTACACTAAATGCAGGTCACGCGTGAAACTCTTAAGACGCATTTAGGATAAGCAACTTATTTGAATAAACACAAGCTGTCACAAATGTACCCTAAATTTTTAATATGAGATAGGATTTAAATTATATATAAATAAACATTACATTTCATTATTTCGTGCATGAACAACATGCAATTCTTTCGACATTGTATATCTTAAACAAAATAATTACATAACCATCCACATTTGAAACGTTGAATTTTATGAGAAAATAAAAGAAATGTCACACATAAGTTTCTAAATCATAATGGATATTTTAGATGATTGTTTATTAATTTTCAATTTAAATTTAACATATAAATTAGGTGATATTAATAATATTTTGTACTTGGTGAGTAAATCTAAGAGATAAATTTTCATAAATTTAACTAGAAAAGGATAAATTTGTCATCATAAAATTATAAATATAATCATTGTTACTTATAAAAATGTTTTATTATGAGTCTGTCTAAGAATTATGAGAAAATAGAAAATTTGAAGCAATGGAGTAAAGATTTTATGTCTTAGTATTATATAGAGATTTTACATACAAATAGAAATATAAAAACAAAGTACTAAGCTACACCAAGATTTTAGATAACAAATTTGAAAATTAAGAAAATAAAGTGGAGCCTATCCCTGGCAAAATGACCCAACATGCTCGTTGAGTTTACAAATATTAATTTTTTCTTATAATTAAAAAATAGGAAACTACGAAATATTGCACTTATTAGTAACTTATTCTTTAATGATTGTGGTGAGAGAAGACGACGAAGATGATGTTAAGTGATAATTGTTAGGTGATAAAGGTTGAACAATGATGATAATTGAACAACGATGATAAAAATTGTGCGACAGAAGACGGCTATAAATAAATGGTGATAAGTGATAGCAATATGACAATAATGATCAAACAATAACAATTGACAGATGATAATTGAACAATTATAATGAAAAGATAATTGTTAAGTGATGATGTTTGAAGTATAATGATTAGCTAATAATGGCTAAGTAATTATGGTGATAATTCATCATTTTGTTTTTTGTTTATTTTAATTTTTTATTATCTTGATACTAAACAACAATTAAAGATTTTAACAGGGTCATTATAAGAAACTTCTATTATAAATTTAAAAAATAACTTTTTTCGTCTTCCATTATTTTTGTAATATAAATTATCTATTATAAATGTTGGAAATGTATTTTTTGATTCTCATTAATTTTTTCTTATAAAATGTCATAAGTGATGTATAGAGAAATATAAAAAGCAGCTTTTTAAATTTCATCATTTTTTTGAATGGTAACTTCAAGTATGTGTTATAGTTTTTTCATACTCTCAATTTAGCTAAAAGTATTTTCAATATTTATTTTTGATGTATAAATCTTTCAAATAGTGCTAATGATTCTTCTCAATTTATAGAGAAGTAGTGATGGCTGGTAGTTAAGTGATTTATGTACTGCCTCACTTTCATGGAACTTTTATTAGTATATTATACAAATGAATTTCTTATTATTTTTCTTTGTGTTTCATATGCTCCAACTGCTCATACTCTTCGATAACTTTCATACATCCTCTTCCGAAGACTCTTATGTAAGAAAAAATTGATTTACTTCTCTGTGTGATTGGTGGGTCCTCCTAGCCACCCTTCATTGAATTTTAGTTCTTTAGATCTCCTCGAGATTCATGTTGACAAGTTTCTCATGTACATGTTTTAATTCTCTGATTCTCTTACATTATAAAAGTGATAGTTGTGACGAGAATAAGAAAATTGAATGTAAAAGCATATTCATTTTATTTGTAATTAGTGCTTAAATAATTACACACCCTAGATTTCTATTCTCATGATTTCTATAAATAGGGCTTCATCGGCGTGTTTGTTATTCACTTGTTCTTACATCATTGTGTCTTGGTCGGTCGACTTTCAGATCATATCCTTGGTGAGCAGCAAGAAACCTCGGATGATAACCCAAGTGAGGATATGATGAGTAGGGCATTTGGATTGTCTGTGTTGCGGGCTCGCCCCGAGGAAAAGAAGAATCCATAGAACGAGAAGAGGCCCAAAGGGAAGAAGAGGCCGGAAAGAGGAAACCGAATAGAGGGCCAAAGATAGACAAAGCAACTTGCCTACAAAAAGTGGACACGAATGAGCTAGTGGATGAAGTAGGGTCATCTGAATCATTGCAAGGCCTTCGACAAGGGAAAGATCGGGTGGAAGGAAGTAGGTTGGGTGACCCTATACTAGCACGTCAATCCAACCTCTTGTTGGAGCCCCTGTGCTTGAGATACAAGAAGCTTTTGATGTTCTGTTGTCGATTAGAGGGTATACGATCATGAGTGTTCCATCCCACCCGACGAAAGTTGTTCGTCATTTTGGTGGTCTGAGGTTGGTACGAAGAGACCCGATCTCCGTGGCTAAGAGGAATTTTTTTATATTCATTTAACGTTTTTAATGCAAAAAAGGCGGTGGAGATTTCCCCTCTAGAGGGCGATGGTCAGGGCTAGCCCTCAAGGTCGGTTGAGAGAACACCAACACCAGTCGAAAGCGAGGGAAACATGATCAATTGTCTAGCCAACACCTGAGGATTTTGCAAAGAAGTAAGCGATGGACTACGGAAGTCTGCTAGGTCATTGGCCTGTTACTTGGAAAAAATGGAACACTCATTTACTCGAGCAAACGAGATGCAGCGCGAGGAAGAGATAAAAGAGCGGTCAACATAACTAGTAGTCTTTAGGCTGAAGCATTCAGAGTCTACAACTCATCACTCGGTGCTGAGGAATGTTAGACTTGCTCGATGCTTTGATTCCAGCTTGAAGTGGAAAGTGTATGTAGATTTAGGTTTGGAGGAAAGGTTTCATACCAAAAGTTGCTTCGACTAAGACTTGTCTTGCTTGAAGCGGTGAATGAACCCATGTAAAATATTTTGTTTGAAGAAAATATAATTTTTAAAATTTTGTTAAAGTTGTTATTTCTATAATTATCTCTCTCGATTACTGAGTTTGTGTGATGCACTTTTCTGAAATAAAGATACGGTATTCCTACAATTTTGCTTCCTTTAGTGCCCTGTATAAAGGACTGAGGATTTATTTTTTGGTGTTGCAATCTCTGACTCTCTTTTGCCTCTTTCTCTCAGTTTCTCTTCTTTTTCCCTCTTTGCTTTCATCCTGATTGCTTCTAAATGTTTTTTCAATCTCTATGAGTCAATTTTAATGATCTAGTTGTCATTCATATCATCAGGGTATTTGTCTTTGTTGCAAGACACTTGAGCTTTTGATGTTGATGACTAGCTCCAAATTGTGGGAATATCTAATTAGGTAACCAATCAATTTGTTAAGGATCTTGTCTTCTATCTATACTAGTTACAGTGGGGTCTTTGACAATTATTCTACCATGAGATGTGATCGATCTTCGACACTTGTGGTATGATCTCGGCCCAAATCGTGTTGAATTTGATTGTTGTCATCATGAAGCATGTCATCTACTATCGTTGAGCTGGGGTCACATGGTAGCCGGAACTTTTCTACTTCATGTTCTCTTTTTTAGTTGAGTTGGACAACTGACGCTCCATAATTTACTGCGAAGTAAATTGGCCGCAAACTGCAAGTTTACATATCAAGTAACAATGCAGTCAAGGAGTATCGCACATCGATCCCACAAGGAAAGTATAAAATTTAATTTCACGGAAAAATCTCTAGTTTACTAATTTAGTTAACCTTCCTTGGCGGTTATCAAAAAGAGGTTTGAAATCCTATTCTAATAAAAATAAAGTAAATCGCAACCGCAGCCAGAGGAAATAGAAAAATGGGAAAGATCTCAAGAGTTCCTTCAAGATTGATGACAGTTGTGCCTATGTGATTTGAGTATTGTGATGATCGTGATTTTCTAAATATTTTCTTACATGATTGTTGAAAATCAAGGATGTGTTACCCCCTATGCCCATGTATATGTCAAAAAAGCCTATAACCAATGAAGTTGAGGCTTTCTCAATCCCTATGACATTCTTCATGATTATTCTAATCCCTAGAAAGATTGCAGATTTTCACTATAATATGTCATTCTGTCACATGTCAGTGGTTAACTCTTTATTTCCACTATACGACGGTTAAAAGTCGTAGTTTCATGAAACATTTTAACATCTAGTTGTCAGACAATATAGGTCATGAAAGCACGGAACATCAACTAAAAAAACATCTTTGAAAACAACAACACAAATCGCTACTCCTACATCACAAAGATGCCAAGAAAAGTTAAGCAACACATTAGCGAGAAAACCACAAATTCAAAATCCATGTAGATTTTCATTGTAAGAAATAAACATAAATAAAAACATACAATAAAATTTGTTCTCTCCACAAATGCATCACATATTCCTCTCATACAATAGATCTCTCAAGAGCTCACAATAATTTAATGTTGGAAACTCACATCTTGAGGTTCCAATCAAAAGGAAGGAAAAAAATCATAGAGGAATTTTTTCTCTGATAAAAAATCTACCTTTCTTACAGCCTCCAACCACCCATGTTGCCCTAAGATCAATCTCATGCATTAATTTATGGGCAAAGCTCAACAAGGTCAAGAAAATTCTTGCCAAAATAAGTTCTGCGAACTGGCACGGGTGCGTCAAAGCTGGCCCGAGGGCACCGTGATTACAGTGTGGGAGTGTGGAAGGTTGAACAAATGAGTGGTCATGGTTGCATGGGATCTGGCATGGGTGCAAGATGGAGTTTAAGCAGGAAATGGTGATGAATCAGGTTTTG